GTGAGCTTCTAGAGAACACACATTTAGTGAGCATTAGAGACAGCATCTGGATGGAACCGAGAGTAATCATGTCCAAAAGAAGGCTAAATAACTTTTTGCAAGGTAAGATTTGTAAGGAAATTTCTGGTTATATAAACTGGCTTTAGGAAGGAAGTTTGACGTTTACTCTTCATGGAGTTTTAGCAATAAACTAGATGAGAGAACTTTCAGGATAACTTGAGCCCAGACACCACACATTTATATGCGAAAGTTTTCTCTGTGAATATCATTAAGGAGAAAGTTAGCACAAAAGTTAGGAAAAAAGATAAAAATAGCTCAAGGACAGGTCACATGAAAATATAAATTCTATATAGCACACATAATAACATCTAATATATGATATATCACATGCTTAAGAATGTGCATATTAAATTCCTCTGAGTTTAATGAACATTTGAATTAAATAGGGAAATAAATAATTCATTCTGGAACAGTAGGATGCAGGAAAAAAGGTAACAACTACTACAAAAGAACCCAACTGGTGCCAGGCGGTGGTGGCACATGCCTTTAATCCCAGCACTAGGGAGGCAACTCACTCTGTGAGTTCGAGGCCAGCCTGGGCTACAGAGTGAGTTCCAGGAAAGGCGAAAAGCTACACAGAGAAACCCTGCCTCGAAAAAGTGTCTAGGTGGTTATTAAATGTATATACACAATGAAAGGAGGGATTAAATATATTTTTTAATATTTCTTTTTGGCTTTGTTAATTCTCCACAAATTAGTCTGAAGGATAAAGAGGGAACTTCTCAACCAAAATGACATCAATGCATTCTCTTGCGATCACAAACCTCATCAGCATCTTAGATTAGACAACATTAAAAAGTGGCCACTCTCTGTATCCAGGTGCAAAGTCCCAATATTTGGTGAATTTGTAAAAAACAGTTAAGAGCATGTTCTCTTTTAAAGCAAGCAAAACAATCATAGTCATAGGATAACATCTACTAGATAGAAATGGTCTTTAATATCATCTGTAACATATTAAAAAACAGAAGTGGCAATTCGATAAGGATCCTTCCATTATTCTTAATACAGATTTAAATGCTGTCTTGTAATATACCAGTCATAGTTATAATCAGTAACTTTCTAATCATTGGGATTAGAAATTACAGTATTTACTGAGCCAAACTCTTTCAGAAAATAAGGCACGACTACATGATCACAAGTAGTAAACACAGTAACATAATGAACCCACAAACTAAAGGAGAAATTACTCATGCAAAAGTATGTACAAAGGCTGTGGATATATGCTCCAATTCAGAGACGCCTAGACTGTCAGACTTGTGGCTGGACCATGTTACAGTAAGTTCATTACTTCTTACACCAAGAACACGGTGGTTTTTCAATCCTACTTTATACAATTTTACATAAATTCAGGAAGTTTATACACAGTATTCACATGTGCAACAAGAACAATTTCATCATTAAAATTCAGGCAAAGGGCATTAAGACACAGCAATGTGTGGCACAGTATAATCAGAGAAGATCATTCATCAAGCTTATGTCTAGGAATACTAAATTGATGGCACATTGAAATCTTATAGATAAGTTATCCATGGTTTTCACAGCCAGGGTGCATTAAAAAAACTGCTAGAATTAAACAGGTCACAAATATCAAAATATACAACGGTCATTTGCCTTCCACTTTAGGCTAAACATCTTATGCAAATGCAAGAGTAAAAAAGTCGCCATAAAGACCTCAAAAACTATATAAAATAATCATAAAGACGTTTTAAGAGGGATGAAAACATAAATTTGGCAGTTGCTTTTTAATATTACCATAAGGAAACTATTAAACTAGCTAATTCCACTTTAAGAGGTAGTTGAACAAAATGTTTCTTTGTACACTGCACTGAGGTGTTTGTGTTTCCTTCTTGTCTTTCTTCAAAAGGAGGACCTCCTAGATCAGCAGCTCTGCCCGCTCTCTTATGACAATTCTGCAGATACGGTT